AAAAAAAAAAAAAAAGAGCCTCACGAAAATTGTTGTCACGAAGTTTGTTTCGCGGATCATTTAGGAAAGCAAAAAAAAAAAAAATAAAAAAACCAAAATCTTAAATTCCCAACCCGAATCAAACCTTCAGTGAACTTTCACTTTTTGTCAAGAAATCCTATCTGTTCCGACAGGTCATCAACCTTTTTTTCTCAATTTATAATAAGTCAAAAACTTATCGCATTTACAGAAAACAGAGTAGCAATCAAATAAATATTCAGTAACATTATCACATTAATAACAGCAAAAAAGATGAGTAAATAAAATAATAAAAGCAATTTGAATATTGATAGGGTATTTGGAATGGTACGTTGATCGCCGACTTGAAGTAACATAATACAAATGCGTGAAAAATTTTCTAATATGAAAGAACTTTTTATCTGCAAAGAAAAAAAAAAAAACTATATTTATGCAAAATCTTTTATTAAATTTTTGGTCTCTTTAACAGTGAAGAAAAGTGCACCGAGAATAAGAAGAAAAAAAGAAAAAAAAAACCACTGCTTTCTACTCGATCTTCTTTACTTTTTCCGTTGTCTTCCCCCATAGAAGTTGACAGTGAAAAATGTAAAATAATACTTTAAGCTGAAAATGCCATTCAGCAACAGCAATATCGGTACTGAAGAGTTACTGATTATGCGCTGTTTGAAGACTCGAAGATTCTGGCTGAAAAGTTTGTGTTTTGCAAAACTGTTTAAAAGTCATTTCGGAAATTCTTTCTTCTCGGCAGTTTAAAGTTTTAATTGTTAAGAAAAGTTTTCCTTTTTTTTTTCTTCGCTTTTTTTTTCTTCATGTCGTCTTTTATGAGATCAGATTTCTTCGAAAAAAAAAAAACTTTTCTGTTGTTGTCATTGTTACCGTCTTTGAACTAACATCCACCTTCCTTAACCTTTTTCAACCACTTTGACTCCGTCTCCTTTACCAGTCGTTCTCTTCGTTTCTTCTTAATTCCCATTTCACTAAGCAATCACATAATGAAACTTAGATAACTATTTAAAGAAAACATCATTCAAAAAA